TAGTTCAGGGAAAACGGAGCTTTTTGCATAAAAAACGTCATTTTTCGACCCCCATTTGAATCCCCGGGACAAAATCGAAATTCCAGACATTACTGCACATCTACATGACACCGCCAACCATCTCCCTAAAGGTGATTAGGCTACTGTGTAAAATGTAGGAGTTCAGGGTGGACGGGGCTTTTTGAATAAAAACGCCATTTTTCGACCCCCATTTGACCCCTCCCCAACCACCACCCCCACCCCGAGGCAAAATCAAAATTTAAAAACCTTACTGCACATCTACATGACACCACCAACCATCTGCCAAAAGATCATTAGGCTGCTGTGTAAAATGTATGAGGAGTTCAGGGAAGACGGGGCTTTTTGCATAAAAAACGCCAGTTTTCGACCCCCATTTGACCCCCGGGGCAAAATCAAAATTCCAAAACCTTACTGCACATCTACATGACACCACCAACCATCTCCCAAAAGATCATAAGGCTACTATGTAAAATGTAGGAGGAGTTCAAGGAAAACGGGGCATTTTGCATAGAAAACGCCATTTTTCGACCCCCATTTGATCCCCCGGGGCAAAATCAAAATTCCTTACTGCACATCTACGTGACACCACCAACCATCTCCCAAAAGATCATTAGGCTACTATGTAAAATGTAGGAGGAGTTCAAGGAAAACGGGGCATTTTGCATAAAAAACGTCATTTTTCGACCCCAATTTGATCCCTCGGGGCAAAAGCAAAATTCCGAACCTTACTGCACATCTACATGACACCACCAACCACCTCCCAAACGATCATTAGGCTACTGTGTAAAATGTTAGAGGAGTTTAGGGAAGACGGGGCATTTTGCATAAATAACGTCATTTTTTTACCCCCCCCCCCCCCCGGGGGTAAAATCAAAATTCCAAACCATCTCCCAGAAGATGATTCGGCTACTGTGTAAAATGTAGGAAGAGTTCAGGGAAGAAAAGTGTGACAGACGGACGGACGGACGGACATGAGTAACAACAATATACCCAAACTTTCTTAAGAAAGTGCGGGTTTAATAAAAAAAAAGTTATTTTGGGCATATTTTAAAGCTAATTAAAAGTTAATTTGACAGCATTTTACGGTTTGATTGGGAACGTTAAGTTAACTTTTTTTCTTTGATGGAAAGAAAGGCGCTGCATGTACATTGTACTTTCGCTCTCACGTGTTGACGATCATGGCGTTGGCATAAAATATTCACAAAACAGAATTAAAAAAAAACATATATACAAGTGATTTAATTTATTTGGGGGGGGGGGGTAAAATTTGTAATTTTGCAAATATCCTACGATTTTTTTTTTAAAGAAGAAAGTCCTCTATGAGTTTCACGATTGTGATTTATTTCCATGAACGCACATATATGTGCGTGCATTAGGACGGATCATATGTCATAGCAGAGCAAGGGTTAAGTTTTGCATGAGAGAAAAAAAAAACCCAAGGAATCAACTTGAAAACAACTTTTACTCAAGAACAGCAAAGCCAATGATAAGTCATGCATTGTATTATTAAGGGTCCTCCACACACATACAGCTTATGTTCTCATATTATCGAGCACTACTTTAAACAAGCATATAAACCTTTAAAAACTGAACAGGGATTAAAATGTAATTTATACGGAATTTTTAAAATAATAATTTCTCAAGTTCCAAAATATATATTTCCCAAGGCGTTTTCATTCGTAGGACCAGAAATTTTGTCTTGCCCTTTCGTATATTTTCATGCTCACAGAATAACCATAAAAAATTAATTTTATCGATCAACATATTTTTTAGAGAAATTAATTTAATTTATGAAAAATAAATAAAACTCATTTTCTCTCAATTAAATCTAGAGAAAAATCAAGGAAGACTCATTTTGCATAGAAGAAACATCAATGAATTAGATTACACCAAAAAATTGAATTAAAATTAAATGCACTAATGTAGAAAACATATTTTCAAAACCATTGGTATCGAAGTTCCTTTTTGGAGTTATCTTTCCTGTTGCCCGGGACTCAAAAACTTTGGCAAGTCTCTGCAATGGTTACTGGCTACTGAACTAGACAGGGATACATTTAAAAGAGGAAAAATAGAAACGCACACTATTTTATTAATATCTATAAACACAATGAGATGATGTATTATTGAAACGCACAAATTAGTGTTCAAAAATATCAACTTTCAACACAGACTGTTGACGATAATCATGTCAGTGGGTTGATAAGCCTGAAAGTATAAATAATCCAGAAGTTCCAATCACAGCGGCATTCGTCGTTTACAAATTATTATGTAACATAAACCCAGTCATTTGTCTCTTTTATAGAAAAAACGGACATCTTTTTCTATCGGTCACTCCGTGACCATGCCATGTGTTCATTGTTATGAGTGTCCTACTTTCTCTTTCGATGACTCTCTTACAAGCAGTTTCCAGGCAATTCGCCGATGTCAAATCTAAGTAAAACCGGAAGTAAAAATATTTTTTCTCTATTACGTCACAAGTCAAATGGTGTTGACGACCTTTAAAGAAATATACACAGGTAGTGTATATTCAAATTTGTTAAAATTTAGGGTAGGCTACATTATGAGTGTTTTACGTAGGAAAACATATGATTGATTGTTTGTTTTACATCCCATTTGAGAATTTTTCATTCATATATAGACCACCATGTACGGATGAAGGGCTTCAGATTTAGAAAAATACTCGGCACCTAGGGCCATTGAGCGATGAGGGATCTTTATCGTGTCTACGCCTGAGGTGACATGGGCCCTCACTAAGGAAGGTCTCAGCCGAGAGACTCGAAGGAACAATTGCTCCTCATTTATTTCGACTTAGGCATCTCGCAGCCGGACCACGAACCAATAATTTTCCGATCACTGAGCAAAAGCTCTACAAAATGAGCTACTGGGACGGTGGAAAACATAGGGAAAATCTTTAAAATTCTTCTGCTTAGAAACAGTTCAAACCAGAGATTAGTAGTATTAATATAGAAGCATCCTGAGGTAGTGTAAATTAAATCCCCCCCCCCCCCCGCCTTCCCCCGTTCAATAATAAACTGATTTCTTATTCTTTCTGGCCAATGATCTCAGATGAGCAATGTGGCCCATGGGCCTCTTGTAATAAAATTGGACTTAACAGAATGGTAGCGTTTCTTATAGGCTTTTAACGAGGCCAACACTTCTTCTCAAAATCAAAGGATAAAAGGATATATCTAAATAGAAGTTTTATTGAATTTGGACCAAAAGGGGGAGGGGATGAGTAGCATTTTGAATACCGACATTTATTTTAATTAAAGTGACAATACGGCGCATCTCTTCAAAAACATACTTGTTAATATTTTCCTATAGGATTTGGAATTTTTTCATACTCATATATGTATACACTTTCAGAAAATACAAATATCATAAGTAAATAATTCTGATTATTTCATTAAAATTAATGATTATTTATGGTCCATAAATATATACATCGCAACGTGTTCGAGGTTACACATTCAATGCTATTGAGCATGCGTATAGTTTTCAAAAAACAAAACAGCATGGTAAGAGAGGGAAGCCCGGTAGGCCTGCTACATTGACAAAGTCGACCAAAACGAAAAACAAACCAAAAATAGGGCTTGAAATTAAAAAGCAACTTTGCTGACAAAAATTTAGTTTTGAGATTAATATAATCATTGGATGAAGAAGAAACGGGATCTCGGCGACATTCACGTGGGGTTCGCGAAGGTTCTACCCTACAGGTTTGTTGATACATGCTATCATTTCTCGTAGCTCCATGGCTTTCAATAAAAAAAATCAGTGTAAACTCAACGTTAAAATGTACTTATGACATATAAGATTTATTGCCATTTGAAGTGCAAAGTGTATTGGAACTACAGAAAGGTATTATGTTTGACATTTTGCCGCTATGACGTATGATTTGGTGGATTTTCCTTTCCTGCACCCCAATACACAAAACGTCAACATTTGTACTTAATCATTTTAAGTTCGTCTGAATGCAGACTAATATGTTAAGTATTAATAATTTACCTGAGAGTTAAGATATTTTAATTCTCAGAATTGATTTTACTTAATATTCAATTATAATTGTAAACCCTACATTGTATGCACGTGCCATTTTAGAAATTAACGTGGTACAAGTAAACAGATCTAAGTTATACGACCCTTGATTTTCGGCAGATTCTAATTACGTAAATTTTTTATGAGGAGGGGGTATTTATTTTTCTCAAATGCTTAATTCAACTTTTTACCTTATTCCTGAATGATATATTGGGTAAATTTGAATGAAAAAGCACGCGATTTGCAGCCGTATTGCCGCTTTAAGGACAGACAGACATATGGACACCTTACTATAAGTTCTTTTGGACTTTGTCCAGTAGAGGTATTTTTAATTGCTAGCACTATACATCTTTTAAAAACTAGTTTTGTTTAAAGTACTTTACTATTTTTGGTTGTCCTTTACAGAGACTAAATGTAAACTAAATGTCTGAATATAAATATCAAAGTATGCATGCATTTGTTTGGTATATATATAGAATCACTGTGTCAACTTTAAGTTATTTGTTCAGTTTAAATTACTGTTTAACCATTTATGATATAAATAATACAAAACACCAGCTTAATGTAAATGATATAAATCAAAGAAAAGAAGATAAACTTTTTAAGAAGTGCAACATAGAGTTGAAATTATTCTAAATATTTCAAGATATTTGCTTGACGTAATGACAATATTATCCAATATGTATAAGTTAATTGCATTTTTCATGCCCGAAACGATGGATGCAATGAACACCACGCCTGGGGCCATAAAACTTAGTCTAGCTCACTTTTGATCTCAGTCTCTTCTCACTTTTCCACTATATATTTCTTTGGTGAAAGTGAGACTGAGATTAAAAGTGAGCTAGTCTAAGATTTTTGACCCCAGGCCAAATGTTAGGTCTGCAGCGTTTGTACAGCGAGAAAGAAAAAAATAAATCATCAAAAAATTTACATTTCATTTACAGGAGGTACTGCTGATATCACAGTGCATGAAAAGGTCAGAGATGGAAAATTGCGAGAACTTCACCAAGCTACTGGGGGAGCTTGTGGCGGGACAGCAGTTGACGAAGAATTTGAAAAATGTCTCAGCAACATACTAGGAGAAAACATTATGAAAACACTTCGCAAATCGAGAACAGAAACTTATATTGATATATTTAGGGAATTTGAGGTTGCAAAGCGAGCGTTTACTCCAAATAGTACAGGACCGATTCGTATGACAATATCTTATGTTGCACTGAATGAACTTTTGGAGGAAACTGAGGGCAAGTCTTTGGAAGAGAAGTTTGCAAATTCAGAAGGAATGAAGTTAAAGAAGGACAAGCTGCACATAGATGTGGAGACAATGAAGAAATTTTTCCAGCCATCAATTAAAGAGCTCATTCAGCACATGCAGAAAATCATGCAGAGTCCACAAACAAATGGGATATCAATAATTTTGCTTGTCGGGGGGTCAGCTGACTCGCAGTACATACAATCCGAGATAGCAAGTGTCTTTGATTCGATTAGATTGATAATACCTTCTGAGGCGGGATTGGCTGTGCTTAAAGGAGCTGTGATTTTCGGTCACGACCCAACACTTATAAAATCAAGAATTTTGCGCTTTACCTACGGTACTGGTGTAAGTCCAGATTTCGACCCAAATATCCACAAAGAGGAGAAGAAAATCACAATTGACGGAGTTGATAGATGTCGGGATTGTTTCAGTGTTATACTTTCTGCGGGAACAGAAGTAGATATAGGGCATAAAGAAGTTGCTATGTATTCAACAACTTCTATGTTTCAATCTGGGGCCGTGGTAAAAATATTCTGCTCCCCAAAAGAAGAAGTAAAATACACAGATGACGAGGGGTGCTTCTTACTCGGAGAAGTGTACATTCCACTTCCCATGAATTTTTTAATGGGTATATTGGGTATGGGAAACAAAAAAGAGCTACCTTTCCTCGTTGTTTACATTTTTGGTGACACAGAACTAAAAGTTATGGCTAAAGATATGTTAAGCAGTAATTTCATAAGTTGCACCTTTAAACTGAAAGAGGATAACGTTGAAGAGGAGGAGGAAAATTAAAATAGACTGACAAAATAAAAATAACCGAACAAATATATCTAAGACTTGTTTCTTATATGCTTATCTGTCATTTTTAGCTTTAAAATTAATTTTGACTTCGATTTCTGTGTTAACAACTGTGTGCTTAAACTGACATTAATATGTAAAGATCGTCATCGAAATGTAAATATGTTTTACTGAATCATGATCCGGTAGTGGTTGATCGAAATAAGCACTTTAAATCTTTTATAAACATATTGAGCTTTAAAAGACCGAGTGAAAATCGTATTTTATATTTTTTATCGATAATAATGTACCGTTAAAAATTTATTTTTTTTATGCATGTAAATAGAGCACATTTCTAATCACTGGGTTTATAGTGGAAACGAGAAAGTTATAATTCGTCATTATAAAATGAATTTTCATCAATGATTAAATATTTTAAAATGTTTCAAGCATATGTAAGAGTGAATCAATATTGTATTTATATATTTTTTAAAAATCTAAATCATCAAAAAAGCAAATTTTTCAACCTCCTGCATAAAACTTCTTTTTTTTTCATTCATTCCAAACCTTTTCGCCTATAGATAAATATTTTTGTCCCCCGCTTGAAAAGTGGGGGATATTAATTTGGGTTTGTCCGTCCGTCCGTCCGTCCGTCCGTCTTTCTGTCTGTCTGTAACGCTTTCGTTTCCACACGATATCTCGAGAACCCTTTGAGCTTTTGCAATGAAATTTAGCATAGCAACTCCCTATGGACTAAAGAAGACCCCTATTGATTTTGAGGTCAAAAGGTCAAAGGTTAAGGTCATAAATAAGCAAATTCTGTCTGTTAAAAGACTTTCGTTTCCACACGATATCTCGAGAACCATTTGAGCTATTGCAATGAAATTTTATATAACAACTCCCTGTGGCCTAATGAAGACCTCTATTGATTTTGAGGTCAAAAGGTCAAAGTTCAAGGTCGTAAATTTATACATTCTGTCTGTATGTAATACTATCATTTCCGGGCGATATTTCAAGAAGATTTTGAGCTTATGCAATGTAATTTTATACCAAAACTCCCTAGGACGTCTCGCGCCCCTCTCAAAATGCCCTGCCCCGTTTGTTTTATTAGTATTTATAGTATTATATGTCGCTATTTTTAGCGCAGGGGCATGAGGAGAGTTATTGCGTATAAAACAGTGGTTCTCGGCGGACTTTATGTTCTTATTACATCTATTAGAACTGTTTAATAAAGGCTAAATAAATCAAACACCATGGATTGTGTAAAATTTTGAGAATACCGAACATGAAAACATGAATATATTCATGTATGTGACTTCAATTCTGTATGTGACTTCAATTCTGCATATACTTCACTCCGCATAAAGCGATCCCGTGGCCTAGTGCTTATGTCTCTCGCTTCAAATGCGAAAGATCCCGGGATCGAATCTCGGTCGAGCCTTACTTTTTTTTTTTTTAAATACCTTTTTTTTTTACTAAATGATAGTATTGTAAACCTATAGGGTTTAGCACAGACATATTGTTTGAACATTTTAAACTTAGACAATATTAATATCATAATCATTTCTAGTTATTAACAGTGAAGGTAAAATGATATAAAAGTTTATTAAATCAGAATGTATATTATTAGTGACGCAAATTCAGTGACTTTA